TTACAATCACTTTTACTGATAAAATACGTCGCAAACTTTTATATTTATTTATTTACTGTGTACTGGAGAGGAGCATTACACGTGAGGACTCTATCGCATGCGACAAGCTTACACCATGATTGCAACTTGAATCCCATAGTGTGAATCAACCTTCGTGAATCATGTCGCGTCCTTCAGACAGGCGCGTCATGTCGAGGTACTGACATTACTAACTCACCCCCTGCTAATCTTTCTGTGTTTTCCCTAGTAGGCTCCCGTGGGGAACCAAAATGTCATCATTAAAAGTTTGCGAACTAGAGCGAAGTTAACCCGAGTCTAAGTTCGCGTCACCGAACAGAAAAATCCCAAAAGACAGATAACAAAAGCTTCATTGTCTTAAAAAATCCTAACCAAGACAATAGGCAAAGTTTGATACGTTGCCTGCAAGTCCTACAGTTGAACGGCTAATATCTCTGCCTTGTAAGCCTCAACGTTCTGGTGCATCAGCTAATACTGCTACCTACTCGACCCGTCAGTCCGATAATCGCTGAGAAACAGCCGCATGTTCCCACGCACTGGCGAGGTGAATATATTATGAGCCTTCCAGATTTCGAAAGGCGGCACTCTGATTGGTCAATCGGCTGGGATGGAATGTTTGGTCAACACGAGCAGCCGTTTGTGGGGAGGGAGACAAAGGAATCCCGAGACAAAGAACGGCTGCGAGAGGAGACTAGGCCCGTGGTGTCTTTATAGAAAATTTCATGTCCCTCCCCCAGCCCACGGTGTTGGACCTTGCTCAAACGTTATTGTATAGATGCAAATGAAATACCAAAGTTCCTCGTGTTTCGATGAACATCTGAATTTAAACGCGAGCAATGAACATATTCAGATCTTCAAATATGAACTGAAAGATAGTCTTCGTGGCAAACAGGCTGATCAACATGGTCAAATTACTTTACATGGAGACATTTATTACTTCAATGCAAGTAATCAACATTACTAGGGTTGATTTCACTTTTTTTCAAGTGGGAAAGTTTCTATAGCAAGAACTTCTTTCATTCAAAAGTTAGAAGTTCAAGTAGCGACTTAACAATGATATAAAAGATGGGATGATCTATTCTTTCCATTTTGAGCTCTTGAATAGTTTTACCCTTTTCAAGGTTTATGGTTTAGGATATAACAGCTCTATCAAGATTGAATCTCTTTTTTAAAGTTAGGACGATTATATTATTTCCTATTTATTGTTATCATGTTCTGTTCTGTTCTCTTTTAAAAGCTTTCAGCCCATCACAATAACATAAAGCTGACTAGCAGCTTGTGACAACACAGGCGGCCCAAGCTCAGTGTGAGAGGTTAATCATTAATATATGTGGTTTCATATTGCGTAATTTAAAATGAGGGTCCCCAATAGGGTTCTTCAATCCCGCCATCCCGACCGGAATTTTCCCTCAATCCCGAGATCCCGACGGTTTCTACGGGCTAATCCCGATCCCGGTCATATTTTCTTAATTCCTTACTTCAGCAAAAATGATCCTTGAAGTTCCGTTTCAGATTCCCTCACAGCAGACTCAAGCACTGACTATTACGTTGAATTAGCTGTATCTCTCTGCACTAAAACGATGATCTAGTTCATTTGTTTTTCATGACTGGTTTTAAACGAGTTTCGTCAGTCAATGAGTTATTTTCATGGTTTTTATAGCTGGTTTTTTTTGTTGTTTATTTTTTTCTTTTTTTCTGTTTTGCCTCTATTTTTCGATAACACCTGCCTTCCGGATCACTTCGATCCCTGAAAAAAGTGTCTCTCGGAGATGATAGCGATCAATGAAGAGCATTAA